TATTATTATTATTATTATTATTATTATTATTATTATTATTATTATTATTAATCGCACAGTCAGCCAGATGTTCAGACTGGGTTTGGCATTTTTGCCTATCTATCGAGTCCTTACCAAGGACCTAGGATAGGTAAATGTTGGATAGACAGATATTGCCGCAGGATGGAAGCTGTTCCAAGTAAAGCTGCCTTCTGCAATTGACTGATGGCAAATTTGTCAATTTGTCTATTATTATTATTATTTAAAATTTATAGGCAGAGATTCTGGGCAGCGAATGGCACTGTGTTCAACCTTAAAAGAATAACCATATTTGTTAGGACTCAACAGCCTGTTCATATCCAGCTTCTTTCAAACCATGGGAAACCCAAGAACGGAAATGATTCACATTTTTAGGAAACCAGCCCCATGTCATCCAGATGGGATTATGGAGCCTACTTATGAAAAACTGAAGAACCTATGTAGGAAGTGATGTCATCCCCCCAACTTCATATCGTGTCAATTCTGTGATTCCCCGATTAGCTCACGGTGCCCTCAAAAAGAGGAACAGAGGTGTAAATAACTTATGAGAGGAGGGTTGGTTGCAAACCAGGCAGAGGAAGCAAATGATCGTGAAAAAGAAGAGGAAGTGAAAAACTATTTGTTGGGTTATTACTTCTTGTTTTTGTTTTTTCCTAGAGAACAACTTTCCATCTACCACGTAAGATGGTGAAGCAAAGAGGACAATGCTGAATAAGGAAGGACAGTGAGGTTGCAGACTGGAGAGAGAAGTCTGCACACAGTAGCCAATGGAAGAGAATGTTTGCAGTTTAGGGTTAAATTGTGGGCTCCTTGGTGGTCTCTCTGAGCTTGGTTGTTTTCTTGTAGATGTTTCATGACCCAACTAGGGGTCAGTGCTAGAAGAAAGTGGGGTCTGCAGAGAGAAGGAGGAGGAGGAGGAGGAAGACTGTGGGGTCCTTGGTGGTCTCTGAGCTTGGTTGTTTTCTTGTAGATGTTTCATGACCCAAATGGAAATATCATCAGTACTTAAAGAGAGTGGAGTCTGCAGAGTGGAGGAGGAGGAGGAGGAGGAGGAGGAGGAGGAGGAGGAGGAGGAGGAAGAGCGGTTCTGTGTGATCCTTGGTGCTGTCTGAACTTGGTTGTTTTCTTGCAGACATTTCACTACTCAACTAGGAAACATCATCCGTGTGAGGGAGTGTAGGGTTAGCTCCCTGCTTATATTCAGTAGCTTGCCCATCAACCAATAACCAGATAAACAGGGGTTAACCCCACACAAACAAATCAAGCACAAAACAATACTCCAAGGAGAAAACCACACCTTCATCAACCCTGGCAGGACAAACTACTGTGTATAAACAAAGAGCAAACCCCACTCCCTTCTAGCACTGATGAGGTTACCTAGTTGGGTAATGAAACATCTGCAAGAAAACAACCCAGCTCAAGGAGTATCAAGGATCCCACCATGTACACAATGCTTGCACAGGGACCACTTGTCCCTAAATAAAGGCCAGGCAACCCACTCCGTTCCTGTGACTATGGCAAAATCCTTTTTGTCCTGAAGAAAGGAAGTCTCTAAGCGAATGTTCTTTCCGTAACTTGGGCAAAGTGCTCAAATTTGGAATCTGGATTCGATTTGACCCTGCGGAGAATTTTTCCTAACTTCCCCCTTCCCCACCCGCTCCATATCTTTCAGCCCCCTCCAAGGGTTATTTGAAAGCAGTGACTCATTCGTCCTAGGATGGAAAGAGAAGTCGCCCGATCTTTCTTTCGACTCCACTCCCAAGAGGCCCTGGCACCAGCCGACTCCCTCTGACGTTGGGCAATGCCTGTCTGACGAGAGCTCCTGCTTCTCTCATGCCTGTGCCAAGGTTGGCGTTGCATCCTCGCTCCAAGGATTTTGCAAGGTGGGCAGGGCAGAGGCCCTGGGTTTGTCCAGTCTCTGCTGTGGCACTTTGCCAGCCCTGGCTGACTGGCGCCTGATGGTGCCAGCATGGCCCAAAGCAGACAGGATGAGCCGAATGCCAATTATTTATCAGGGCGCAAGAGCTGAAAATGTGCCAAGGCATATTACGCTTATTCTGGTGGAACGTACAGAATGTGGGCAATTAGGCTGCTTTGAACACAGGGGTGACCAACTGGTAACCCCTGGACATTTGCAGCCCTGATGTCCATATTTTCCCCTCTGCGGGGGTGTCTTATATTTCCCCAACCACACTGCCAAATTGAATACACAGTTGCCAAAAACTGGCAGCACAGCTTCCTATTATTTTAAAACAGGAAATGCACAGAACCCTAAAATGGGTTAACTTTCTGTAATGGGATGCACGAACAACCTTGGGGGACAGGAGGAAAAACTGCTTATCATGGATTGCTGGTTGCTGGCTGTAGGGCAAGCTACAAGGTGCAAACTCTGCACTCCCTACTAGCACTGATGATGTTACCTGGTTGGGACATGTAACGTCTACAGGGAAACAACCAAGCTCAGAGAGCATCAAGGACCTTACAGTCCTCCTCCTCCTCCTCCTCCTCCTCCTCCCTCTTCTTCTTCCTCCTCCTCCTCCTCCTCTCCATAAACCCGCTCAACTCCACAGTTCCATTTCCTTCTGGCACTGATGATGTTCCCGAATTGGGTCATGAAATGCCTGCAAGAAAACCACCAGGCTCAAGAGAGCCCCAAGGACTCCACATTTCAACCCGGACCTACCAATAGTCCCTTTTATTAATAAATGACCAATCTTAAGCTTTCTGAGCCAGTTACCTTGGCCAAGTCGCTGTGAGTTTTGCTGCTCCTGCTGCTGCTGATGTCGCCGTGCCAGTTTTTTCATCTGCGAAAAGAAAGAGAGTCAAAAATCAGCCCGGGCTTCCTCCGGTTCTTCCCCTGTTGATGCGGGGCTGCTTGGGTAGCCTTCCCTGAGGTCTCACCTTTGCTCTTTGATTCTGAAACCAGACTTGGACAACTCGAACGCTGAGACCGGTTTCAGCCGCCAGAGTCTCCCTCACCTGCAAGAAAGGCCAAATACAGAAAACTAAGCTTGCCAAGACCCTCCAAAAATCCCGCTTTTTAATCCACCTGGCAAGGGTTGGTCCTGTTGTAGTTCACTGGCAGCAGTGACGAAGAGGACCCCCGGGGTGCCTGTGTTCAGTGTGCATGCACGCAGGGCGGCTTGAAGGAAAGAGCAGCTGAAGCAGCACCGGCGAGTCAGGAATAAGGCTGCAAGGTGATGGCTCCTCCCATAAGGGATAAAAGCCAGCCTTTGGGGTTGGCTTCTTTGCAGGAAGCAAAGAAGTTCTTTCAACCCCAAGTTCTTGTGGAAGCCTTGTCTGTTCTGCTTCGTGTTTGGAGATTTTTGTTTTAGAATATTTATCTGCAATTAATCTTGTGTTCTTGGCAGCCTTTCGCAACCTTGAAAGGGCTTGCTCTTATCTGGGACAATTAGTTTTGAATTACTCTTTGCTGTGAATGAACAGAATTCACAGAGATACATTAAAAAGGTTTGCTTTATATATATACTTTGTGTTTGTTTGATTTGAACAAGGCTTGGGTCAGAACAGATTCTGATTTCCAAGAAATGATAATGGCAGGCAAAGAATCAACCCTAAGTGTGACAGCAAGCTGAGATAGGGGTTATATTTCTTTATCTTCCACTAACAAACTGGGTATCTCGAGATCCAGAAATTCAAGGGAAAAAGCTGTCAACTACAGTTGGACGCATGCCAATTTTTAATCACCCTGCTGAAGGAAAATAGAAGACACGGCAATTGCATGACAAGAGGGGTTTTCAGAGACAATCAAGCTGGACCCATAAGCCATAAGTCTAGGTTACCCCAATCATGCCTGGGATGGAGTTGAGAATCTTCTGTGCTGACAGAGTAACTGCACCAATGATTCATAGCAAAGATCGGCGAATCAGTGGTGGGATTCAACTTTTTTTACTACCAGTTCTGTGGGCGTGGCTTGGTGGGCATGGCATGGCTTGGTGGACGTGGCAGAGGAAGGATACTGCAAAATCACCATTCCCTCCGCACCCCACTAACCTGCTTTCCAGCTCTGTTCTCCCATGCGGGGCAACCAAAGAAGACCCAGCCAATCAGCTGGGACTCCATGGGGTTGGCGGGGCCTCTCAGAGGTGGGTTTGGCCGGTTCTCCAAACTACTCAAAATCTCTGCTACCGGTTCTTGAAAACCGGTCCGAACCGTCTGAATCCCACCACTGGTTGGCGTGATGAAGGAGAAACTTACCTTCCTACAAGGCTTGGAAGACACTTCAAAGGAGGCTTTGAACGCTCTTCTCTGCTGTGTGGTGAGGATCGTCCGTGGCCTTTTAGGTCTTCTTGGATCTTTTCCGTCATCGCCTCCCTTCCCAGGGGTCATTTGTCCTTTAGCCGGTTTGATGTCCCCGTCCTCATCGTCGCTTTTCACTGTTGATATATATATCGTGCAAATACGGCAGAGCTAAGAGGCCGGCTTCACACACTTGAGTGAAGCTATGCTTTGCTTGGCTAAATGACATCACCTGGTTTACACCTCACAACTGGGCCAGGTTTATAAACTAGAGTGGATGGATTTACCTCTTCTGTTATTATTATTTTTAATTAGGAAATAGCAAAAAAGGGAGAGGAAATAGCTGTTAACTCTATAGTAAGGATGCACATCAATTTTCCTGCCCTACTGAGCCAAGATTGATTAATCAATCTTCAACGGTGGACTTCACATTTCTATCCTGAGCTACAGATGGAGGGTTGAACCGGAGGACCTCTAGAGTCCCTTCCAATTCTATTATTCTGTTCCTTTCTATGATCATGTGCATCCACCCCATCAAACTCAAAGAAAGTCCGGAATGGTAGAAGATCTCCTGCCGTGGGCAGAAGGTTGGGCTAGAAGACCTCCAAAGTCCCTTCCAAATTATTCTAAGTTTTGTTGAAAACTTTGATGATTAGAAATGATAATCAGAAGAGCCCTGAACTCAGATTTAGACAATGGTCCAGCATTCTGCACCACACAATGGCCATCGAGATGCATTTTGGAAGCCCAACCAAGCAAGGCCGGGCCTCACCTGAATCGGAGTCGTCGGGACTGATGGAGCTGAGCAGGTCTTTCTCCTTCTCATAGTCACTTTTGCAAAGGAGCTGGCCTTCCTTCAGGACGAACTCGTCCCCTTTTCTCAGCTTCCGCTCGCAGACGCAGCAACAAAAGCAACTCAAGTGGTAAACGCACTCCAGCGCCCGCATGACGAACTCCGTGGGGGCGATTTTTTCCATGCACCCACTGCATTTGGCAGCAAACAACCTGTGGGAGAGAAGAAGAATCCAACCAAAGATAGATAGATAGATAGATAGATAGATAGATAGATAGATAGATAGATAGATAGATAGAGAGAGAGAGAGAGGTGTCAGGTAGGTCTGCACCAGGGAAGGAAGGACAAGGCGCACCCCATTCTTGAGGGTCTAAGACAGGGGTGTCAAACTCAAGGCCCGGGGGCTGGATCCAGGGCAGGCTGGTGGGCCAGATCTAAGCACCCCGTGGGCCTGCCCTGGAAAGACCGAAGGACCGGCCCACGGTGCCTCCGCCAGCAAAAATGGAGCTTGGGAGGGACATGTGCAGCCCTCCAGGCTTCCATTTTGGGGCACAACAGCCTCCTGCAACCCACAGCCCTTCTGGGCTCCATTTTTGCTGGCAGAGGGCTGCAGGAGGCCATCACAGCCGAAAATGGAGCCCAGGCGGGCCACGTGTGGCCCTCCCAAGCTCCGTTTTGCTGGCAGAGGCTGCAGGAGGCCACAGTGGCTCAAAACGGAGCCTGGGAAAGGGAGCCTCAATGAGTGACATCAAGCTGTCCCCCCCAGGTCAAAGTCAACCCTGATGCAGCCTTCAATGAAATCGAGTTTGACACCCCTAGTCTAAAGCAACTTGCGGGGAGACAATTCAACAGTGTATTAATCGTTGCGTTCAGTTGCTTTTATTATGGGTGACTGCGTTTTCATCGAAATGATTGTGACTCTCGTATTTCCGGATTGACTTTCTTTCTGTTATTATTAATTATTATTATTGGCCACGGTTCCATTGAAATTAATTTAATTTTTGCATTTGTTGAACTCTCCCGTGGCGGGTTGGCCCTGTTCCGGTTCCTGCCATTTTTAGAGCTGAGCTCAACTGATGGGTAATGCTTGCTAGCAAATCTTCTGGGCACGAGCTTCAATTCTAGGTTTGCCACCGGCTGATATTGTAAATATTTATTAATTTTATAGGCTGTGAAGTTGGGCAGCCTCTTCACTGCGCAATAAACAAAACAAGCAACTTATGTCACTGAAAAGAAAACAATCTAAAACCGGTCGGGAAGAAAAGAAGAAACAGTGATGAAGAGACTGGGCAGCCATCTGTCAGAAATGGTATAAGGTCCCCTTGGGGGTTGGACTAAAAGACCTCCAAAGTCCCTTCCAGCTGTAGGATTCCAGGTTCTAAGTTTTGGGGGAAATCTAGCTTGTCTCTCCGTGTTTCCATAGGGCCCATGTGCCGGGAATGCCCCCAGCAGCACAAGAGGGCCCTTGGCATTGTTGCCAGTGGTTTGCAGTGCCAGGATTCAAGCCATCTGGCCACGTTATATCATGCCCCTGATTTATTGCCTTCTGGTTCCTTATCTGGCTTTGAAATCCATCCTGCCCTGCCTACCTCCCAATTCCTCTTCTGCGCTGTTTGCTCTTATAATCGAGCCCTAACAACTAACCTTTACCGTTTCAATTGCCTCGCCCCAGGTTCTTTAATTTCCTCCTGTTTGTGGGGCAAATAAGATTGTTAACGGTTGTGCTGTAGCCCTCCCGGGCGAGATAAGCCCAGCGCCGCATCAGGTTTGTCGTCCGCATTAAGCAAGGTTCAAGAGACTGGCTAAACAGGACAAAGTTATAAAGGCAGGACAACCTGGCTTGCTGGATGCATCCGTATCACAGGACGTATTAATCAATCGGGGATGTTAATTGATTGAGGCCTCTTGGGAAATTAAACCACGTTTTCTCTTCTTCATCACTCGTCCCCAGGTCTTATTTTCCAGGCACAGAGCGAAAACTTAGGATTAAGTCGATAGGAAAACATATCCCAAAACCACAGCTGCATGTTTCCCACTAAACAACCACAATCCTCTTTAGTCACAATCGATTTGTGACCAGAAATTCCATCCTAAGACTGTGCTGTCATAAACGGCCAGACCCCAGTTTTATAACCATTTTTATGGCAGTCGTGAAGTGAATCATGTGGCCAATTAAGCCAATTGTTGCTAAGTGAGTCCAGGTTGCAAATGGTGATTAGATGACCACAAGACACTGCAACATGTTGTAAAGGCAAGTAGGTTGCCAAGCTCTTGAGTTGTGATCATGTGACTGTGGGGGTTGGAGTGAGGACCATCATTGAAACTACAGGTTGTAAAGCATTTTTTTCTGTTGGTCTTAAGTTGAGGACGACCTGTATAATCTTACTGCCTCATCTTTCTGCTGACCCTCCTCCTTCCAATAATATTCCCTCCCATTTAAAATCCTCTTCAATTCTATATCTATACTCATAGCAGATATAGATTGTCGAAGGAATGGGCAGTGGGGCCTTTTCCTATCTATTCTGCTCCATCCATCTCGCGTTTGATTTGCCTGCATTTCCACCAGCCATGAGGACTAGTAACACGCGCTTACGAACTTCAAAGGAAACAGGGAGCCTGAAATTCTCCAACGTAATTTTAATTGAAGCAACTAACATGCCTCCAAAATCCAAGCAACAGTGAAACTAACCATGAAATTAAGGGTGGGAAGTTTGTCTGAAATGGAATAGGGTCAAGGTTCCTTCCAACTCTGCAAACATATCGCAGAACAGACTCTATGTATGTTCAGAGTCCTGTCCTGCCCAACGATAAGAGCGATCAACTACATGACTTTCGGAGATGGTTCCCCACACGCAAATGAGAATTTTCTCCAAATGGGTTGTCCCATACTTGCAACACAGTCAATCTCAAATTCTGGCCAATGATCAGTCTCCAGTTGAGGTGGGCAGTGAGCACGTTACGTCTCCCTGGCAACTACTCCATCTCCACCAGAGGTGGTATTCAGCCGGTTTGGACCGGTTCCGAAGACCTGGTAATGGACATTTTGAGTAGTTGGGAGAACCGGCCAATCCCGCCTCTGACTGGCCCCGCCAACCCCATCTGTTCTCTGCCTCTCATTGAGTCCCAGCTGATCGGCTGGGTCTCCTTCGGTTGGCCCTGCGTGGGAGAACGGAGCTGGAAAGCAGGTTAGTGGGGTGGGGGGTGGGAATGGGGATTTTGCAGTATATCCTTCCCCAGCCATGCCCCCCCCCAAGCCACGCCCACAGAACCGGTAGTAAAAAGTTTTGAATCCTACCACTGATTCCCCACCCCACCAGCTGGCAGGAGGAAAATCGTCCAGAAAACTGTCATTCACGCAGGGAATGGTGACGGCATGAAACTCAGCTGCCAGAGTTCACGAACTACGGTTGCTATTTTTGCTTTCAACGCCATTCCAGTGGCATTCTCAATGCCTGATTGCTGGTTGTTTGTTTGGTTGTGTGTTGTTTTTTTTAATGTATGTTGTATCTTGAAAGTTGGTGTGGAGGGTGGGCTGGCAAGGATGACTTAGAGGATGCAAGGATAATGGCCCTTTTCTTCCCCAAAGGGACACATTAAGAAAAGGGGAGGGGGCTGCAGATCCAGCCAGAGGCTGGCATAAAACAAGACAATAACTTGCTACGTGGCCTTGCCGAGAAGCGACACGTGCCCGGGAGTCCATCAAGGAAGCCGTTTAGTTGCTGATTTGCAAGGGAGAGATTTCACCGTCCTGCGGTGTTAATGTTTTTTTGTCCCCTTCCTTCCGGCGGGGGGTCTATTGCCAAATTCCGAACTCATCAACACAATCTTTTATTAATAATCCTCCGAAAGGCTTCTGCCAGGGTGTTATTACGGAAGACACGCAAGGCTCGGTGGTGACATCCATTATCGAGACTGCAGTGGGGTTGGGGGGGAGAGGAAGAGGGTGTCCTGGGGAGGGAGGAGGAGAAGAAGGCGAGATAAAACAAACACACAGGCGTTTTATAAACAAAATGTTTCATGTGTTACAGCTTCCCCCCTTTGCCGTGAAACAGTGGGGTGCAGGTTAAAGAACGACAACAACAACAACAACAACAACAACAACAAAAACCAACAACAGCCCACTGGGAGATTCTTCAAGATCCGTCTTTGGATTTGCTGTTGGGGGAGAAAGGGCCATTTCCTCCCTCCCCAGCACTCCCACCCTATTTCCTAGGTCTCCAACTGGTTTTAGCATTCACTTATCCATCTGGGCTCACGCTGGGTTTGTTTCAGAGGGTGGAACAGGCCATTTTGGACGGTGAGGGTGAGAATGTAGGTTGGTGGGGCGCTTGGTGCTCTCTGAGCTTGGTGGTTTTCTGGCAGACGTTTCATTACCAAGCTAAGTACCAGTCATCCGTGCTAGAAGGGAGTGGGGTTTGCAGAGTGGAGGAGGAAGAGGGGAACTATGGGTTCCTTGGTGCTCTCTGGGATTGGTGGTTTCCTTGCAGACGTCTCACTACCAGACTAGGTAACATAATCAGTGGTCATTCAAGCCCAGAGAGCACCAAGGATCCCAGTCCTCCCCCTCCACCATAAATTCCATGTCTGCAAGAAATAAAGCTCAGAGGACACCAATGAGCCCACAATCTTCCTCCTCCCTTTCCTCTTCCTCCTCCCCCCCTCCTCCTCCTCCTCTTCACACACCCCACTCTCTTCTAGCACTGATGATGTTACCTAGTTGGGTAACGAAAACTCTGCACAGGAACCACCAAGCTGAGAAAGAACCAAGAAGCCCACAGGTCAATATTCTCCTGTATCGAAATATAAATTTGAATCATGGTGACAAGGGTTGACCTGGGGCTTGTGAACTAGATTTGAGTATCTTGGGTACAAACACCTTAACACTCAGATTGATTTCTTCTCGATACTGCCCTGCTGCTGAAGTTACTGATTATGTTGTGCTTCCTATAACAACATGTTATATCCACCCCTTCCTTGGGAAGGAGCCCATCAATTCTGCCACCCAGATCACAGATCAGAGATTCCTATGATCCCTCCCCAATGTTATGCCAGATTTTGGATGATATGCCCTGTTTTAAAGAGGATAATCATCTCTTGGAAATAATTTCCTGTCTGGCCTAAATCTAGCTTGAAAAATAGAGATACCACGGGACCCAGAAACCTTAAATGCTCACCTGCTCCCACCTGTTAGGGTGTGAAGAGTATTGTTGTG